CCTGCAGCTCTGGGAGCTTTTTAAAGAGCCAGGAGTGGGAAACATGCTGACAGGGAGGCAGGCAAAGCTGCCCTGGGCAGGGCAGTGTGTGCTGCTGTGGTGGGGAGTCTGATATCTCTGTGTTTACCCTGGCACAGGCGTTGCCATGATGAAGTTCAAGAGCCCCCCGGTGAACAGCCTGAGCCTGGACTTCCTCACTGAGTTTTCCATAAGCCTGGAGAAGCTGGAGAACGACCGTGCCTGCCGGGGTGTGATCATTACATCTGTAGGTGTTGTCCCTTGCTCATGTTTGGTCTCTTGGGTCACTGGTCACTGGGATGGGAGGGCCTGGAGGCGGCTTTGATTGGTTTTTGGAAGGGCTGTGATCTTCCTTCTGTGCCCTTTTCTGGCAGAACAATGGCAGCCAAGTGTTGTCATTTGTCATGCAGATCAAATCTGCTTGTCTGCCAACCTGATACATCCCCGTGAGATCTCCTGGAGGAGATGCCAGTGTTTATTTTCAGGCATGGTGTGGGGATAAGGTGGTGCCTGGGAATGGGACAGGGCAGGTTTTGTGCTGTGTGGCTGATTGTACCCACACAGGGACCCTGACAATGAGAAATCATGCTACAGGCAGAGTCCCAGCACCGCAGGCCATGGTGGTGGGATGATCCAGGCTGTGGGAGCACTGGGGAGATATTTTCAGAACCCCAAAAGACCCTCATATCGCATATAATTATCACTTTCCTGAGGCTGCCACGCTGAGGGCTAAAGGATGACAGTGACTCTAAGTGATATCTGTATTTTCCCAACTCCAGACTATCCCCAAAATATTCTCCTCTGGCCTGGACATCATGGAAATGTGTGGGAAGAACGTGGAGCACTATGGAGAGTTCTGGAGAGCTGTGCAGGAGATGTGGCTGCGGCTCTACGGCTCCAACATGGTCACGGTCGCTGCGGTCAATGTATGTCCTTTGGACCCACCTCCCTTGTCACCTCTCACCTGCTGTGGCTTGTTTGCACCGTGTGGGCAGGGACAGCCGAAAAATCAGGCTGAAACAAATCCAAAAAATGTGTTTGTCGGGGTGTTTGGGCGAAATTCGTGTCTGTCAGCGTGTGGGGTGTGGGAAGGTGCGGAAGCGTGGGATGCTGCAGGCACCGTGTGAGCTGCAGACACTGCTGGGGTATAGCAGCATTTCAGCACTTCCACCAGGTTTTGCTCCTCCAGCTGTGGTTCTTGGCCAACAGGGAAATGCTGTTGGAATCTCGATGTCCGTGGATGGGTCGTTACATGTTTGGTGTCTTCTTTTCATTTTCCAGTGCGGTGCTGCCCTGGCAGCTCCCGGTGGTGTCTGTCCACAGCCCGTCTTTGAAGGCAGCTGGGTCTTCCCACGGGCATCCTGAGCAGGGCTGAGCAGCACCAAGCCATGGCAAAGATGGTCACAAATGGAAGGGAATCCTCCCCTGGGAGGGTGGTGAGGCCCTGGCACAGGTTGCTCAGAGAAGTTTGGGCTGCCCCATCCCTGGAAGTGTCCAAGGGCAGGTTGGATGGAGCTCTGAGCACCCTGGTCTAGTGGTTGTGTCCCTGCCCATGGCAGGGGGGTTGGAACGAGATTGGCTTTAAGGTCCCTTCCAACTCAAACCATTCTGTGATTCAATGAAACCCTGATAACCTCTCAGAGATCTTCCTTAGGGCTGTTTCAGATCAGGTGATCAGAAATTTGGGCGACATCTGCTCTGTCACCCCATGTCTTCCCTACTCTGGAGGGATCAGTGAAGCTGGGGGATATTTGTAACCATGTCCTAGACTCACTCCATCCTTCTGTCTGCCAGGGGTCCAGCCCAGCAGGAGGCTGCCTCATCGCCCTGTCGTGTGACTACAGGATCATGGCAGAGAACCCCAAATTCAGCATCGGCCTGAACGAAGCCCAGCTGGGCATTGTGGCTCCCTTCTGGTAGGCCAGTGCCTCCTGCTTCTAGGGCCATGTGTAGGTCTCTAAAAGGAATTCGTCTTCAGGGAGTTAATTAGGCAGTTTAACAGGTCATGGAGGTGTAGGTTGTGTGTCAGTGATCAGGTAGATGCAGCTGCAGGAGATGGTACCTCATTTCTGTCCTATCCTGCAGGTATCTGAAAAGCTTTCAGGTTGCAGAAAGTCCTCATGTCCTTAACCAGCAAGGACCTCAGTTCTGACCCTGCAGTCAACTCTGAAACTGGTGCTGGGGGTTCTCACTGGTCAGGCTTAGTCTGGGAATATGCTTTTCTCAGGGTACATGGTGTGTACCTGCAAAATCCTTTGGTGTGGAGATCTCTGAAAGCGTAGGGACAGTAACATACTGAGGCCCTTGGTTGCCCTCAGAACATGTAAATGTACTGTTGGAAAGGAGCTTTCACACCGTTTGCCCATGTCACAGCAAATGGGTACAGCTGGGACCTGTGCATTGAGGGGCCAGTGAGGAGCTCTCGTGGAGGGGAGAGTGAACTCTGTTGGGGTACTGACAAAAATGGCTCTTCTCACATGATTTTCTTGGTGTGGCTGAGCCTGCAGCTGCTGTTCAGAGCCCCGAGCCTGGGGAGTGGGACCAGGGTGCTCTCAGCTCCAGTGGCTGGGTGAGCTGCCCCTGGGTGTTTCTTTCCCTCACTGTGGCTTTCCCTCCCATCTTCTCCAGGTTTAAGGACACGTTTGTGAATGTTGTGGGGCACCGGATCGCTGAGCGCTCCCTCCAGCTGGGCTCCCTCCACCCTGCACCCGAGGCCCTCAAGCTTGGCCTCGTGGATGAACTGGTGCCAGAGGAGAAGCTCCTGGAAAAGGCTTCGGCCGTCATGGCACGGTGGCTGGCCCTTCCTGGTAAACCTCTGGCAGGGGAGGAAGGGATCTGATCCGAGTGGGAAGGACAGATGCCAGGGCTGGTACCTGGGAGCTATGTAACAGTTTCCATTGAAAGGGAAGGTGTGGATGGCTGGGAAGTGGGAGAACTGAGCACAGTAGTCCTGGAAGCCTTGGACACTCTCCTGGGTGTGCAGGGCACGTGGCTCCAGCTCAGCTCACCCTGCCAGCCCTGCTGAGTCAATCTGGAGGTGCCTGAGCTCCAGATACAAACTGAATGTGTCTGTCAGTGGAGGTGTTAGCCCAGAAAAGCTGCCATGGAGTTGAGGGAACAGGCTGGGTGAGAGCAACTGGATGGCTGCCAGTCTGCTTTCATTGTCTGGATCAACTCTTGGCACTCTGCTGAGCTGGGGATGGCAGTGATGGGGGTGTGAGGACAGACAGACAGCACAGACATCTTGTGTGTTTGGGCTGCTCCACGACTGCAGCACATGGTTCCTGGGCTGGGAGAGGGCTCTCTGCCAGATCTGAGCTGTCCCATCCCAGACCACCTCTGTCCCCTGCTGTCCTGGTGGCGGAGTGACACCTCACCCCTCAGCATGTCTCAGCTGTGCCCTCCCCTGACTTGTAGGAGGCACTGTGCAGACCCGCCCCCTGAATCAGAGCCAGGAGTCTGTGCAGGAGGAGGTGTCTGTAGCACACAGGCACTGGAGCAATTTGGGGTTCCCAGTGTGCTGGGGGGGTCAGTCATCATTTCACCATCACAGCTGAACTAAACTGAGGGTGTGCATAAAACATCTGTTGCACAGATGTGCTGCCACATCACTGCATCTGGCTGTGTGTGTGAGGTGCTTGAGGCCTCAGTCAGCTCCAACAGCCCTTGCTGCTCCAGCAGCATCCACGTGTCCATGTGGAATGGCACAGGCCCAGGGATGAGCTCGAGGGGACAGTGGTGCTGGCTTCTTTTACAATGTGTTTGGGAGGAACAGACTGTCTTGCCACAGGTTGAAGGGGTTGGTTTGGAGGAGCTTAGAGCCAGAGCAGTTTCAAATAACAAGGAATTTTGTTTGGTTACTGCTGTCCTGAGCCTGGGGGGGTGTATTGGGAGGGGGTATTGGGAAGAGGCTGGGCTCTGGAGGGCACAAAGAGGAAGAAGTGCACAAAGAGGAGGAAGTGCACTTCATCTGTGCCAGTAAATAAGTCATTTCCCCACTGAGCAGTACAGTCATAATTTATTGTATGAGAATTTATCCAGTTCAGCTTCCAGGCAGTGGGATTTTCCTTCACCTTTCCCTGCTGGTTCAAGGAACCCTTTGCTGTGGGATCCCTCCCCTTTGCACCTGCACGTGGTGGTGGCAGCGGCTGGGAGCTGGTCAGGGCTCAGGACAGGGCGTGCTCCTCATCCTCACTGTCCTCTCCACAGACCACGCCCGCCAGCTCACCAAGTCCATGATGAGGAAGGCAGTGCTGGACCACCTGGTCGCTCACCGGGAGGAAGACATCAAGAACTTCATCAACTTCATCTCAAAAGAGTCCATCCAGAAGTCACTTCGCATGTACATGGAGATGCTGAAGAAGAAGAAGAGCTGAGAATCCAAGCACCCTGGAGCAGGTCCTGGGAGGTCAAGTCACCCTCCGAAACGCTGCAGTGGCTGTAGGATTTCACAGCAAAGCCGTCTGCAGTGCCAGCAATTGGTGGCGTGCCACTGCTCCCATGGCTGCCCCAGCACTTCCCTTTGTCCTGTAGAGTGCCTGACACCACTGCTGCCTTCCCTGAGAGCAGGGGAAGCCTGCTCAGCCCCCCTGAGGGATGGACAGGGAGAGGGTCTCCACACACTGTGGCCTGAGCCCACCAGTCCTTGGATGTCCTCCCTCCTCTCCAGCAGTTAATCATGAAATGAGATGTGTCAATAAATCTTCAGTGAGGTAGGAGATGGATGCTTTGTTCCCCGTGGTCACAGTGTCCTGGCTGGTGGCCTGTCCCCAGGCTCTGGTTCGTGGTGGGCTGGGGGAGCTCTGCCCTGAGCTGTGTGTCCTGGGGGGTCTGGGCACGGCCGGCTGTCACCCTTCTCCAGACCAGGATCCAGAACAGCCCACGCACAGGGCTCATGGATGGGGCTGCAGGGGGTGCCTTCACAGGGGTTGGTGGTGGTGGGAGCTGGAGCTGGAATCGTGGTGTGCAGCTGCAGGAGGAGCTCAGGCCGTGAGCTTCACCTCGACCGGGTAGTGGTCGCTGACTGCCAGGGCCTGGAGGAGGGCGAGAGGAGGGGAGATGTGAGTCCCTCACCCCTCACCGTGCCACTGGGGCTGCAGGGCAGTCAATGGCTCTGCCAGAACCTTCTGCCTCCTGGAGGGGATCACAATGTTCTGAACCCTGAGATACTTGACACACAGGGCTCCAGTTTTGGCACCTCTCATGGAGAGGCCCAGGCGTGGCCTGTGGAGGGCAATGGCAGGAGGGCACCTGCCCTCTGAGACCCTCATATCTCACTTGAGGGCTCTGTGCCAGCATTGCCTCTTATTCTGGAGTGTTGCCTGCACCTGCCCATGGAAGACCGTGAAAAACCCCATGCATCTCTTCTCATCCCCTGGGGGACAAATCCCAAATTTGAGACAGTGACCCCAAATCCCCTCTCCTGTTTCCCCCCTTGGGTTCCTTGTCACCCTGAGCCCCCTGAACAGAAGATGGCAGCCCTGCAGCCTGGGCCAGCTCGACTTTGGTGCCTGTTAGATCCCCGGGTTTATGGTCCTGGCTCACCTCCTCCTGGTCCAGCTGGAAAGCACGCTGGAAATTGTAGATAGCAGCCGAATTGGACATGATGCTTCTCTTCAGCTTGGCCCCACACACCACGATCCTGCCAGAGAGATGTGGATGGTGGGTCCAACTCCTGCCCCTGCACTCAGCCACTGGTAGGGCAGGGCGGGCAGGGGGTCCCTGGGGTGCTGGGGAGGGGGGTGGCAGTGCCATGGGGGTGGTGCTCACCTGTCATAGGCACAGTCTGACTTGCCCACGGTGGTGTCGGTGCTGTCGGGGATCAGCCACTTGAAGATGTCGCTGGTGCGCAGGCGGATGGACGACCAGTCGCTGGGCTGGACGTAGGCACAGTCGGCGTTGAAGTCACCCAGGAACATGATGTTCTGCAGTGGGGTAGATGGAGAGGCTCATGGTCTGGGCATGGGGCTGTCTCTGACACCAGCCCTCCCGTAGGGGGTCAGTCCTGGGTGCCTGGGAATCCCTCGTGACAGGGCAGGAACAAGGTCTCCATCCCACCAGCCCTGCACCAGCTGCACTTGCCTTGGAGCAGGAACCCAAAGGGGGTCCAACAGTCTCAGTGCCCACCCCTGGTGCCACCCCCAGTGCTGTGACACTCACGTCAGTCCCCCACTTGTTGACGATGTCCAGGTAGACGTCGTAGAGTGCGTCGATCTCGGCGACGGCATCGTGTGGGGCTGAGTGCAGGGGCACCAGCACAAACTCCTCCACCTCTGCCAGGGGAGAGGAACATCAGCACCACAGCCACCTAATGCCACCACCCAGGGCCACTTGTCCCCTGCTTACTGGTGCGGGGTGCTGAGACCCTCAGGATGAACGGCTCCCGGCTGAAGACGTCCTGACGGTCCTTGTACTGGTAGGTGTCCACCACAGACACGACATCTGTCCTGTGGGAGCAAAGGGATGGTTACCCTGGGGCTCAGCACGGCCTCTGTGTCCCCTCCATGGTGCTGGTGTCCCCGTGGTGCTGTGGCACAGGCGGCAGCACCCCCAGCCCTGTTACCTGTAGATGAAGAGGTACATCTCCTTGTAGTTCTCCCGTCCCAGGGGGCCACTGATCTCGTAGTCATATGGGGACTTGGACGCACTGTGGAAATGCAGAGGCAGGATGGTGACGTGGCTGCCACCAGTGACATGGCTGGTACCATCCTGGGTTAGCCTTGGCACGTCCAGGAGCTGGGCAGCCGTGGGGTTGGCACCACCATTCCTGCTCTGCTGTCCCTGTGGGTCACTGTGCTCTGGCCATGAGGTGACATGGGGTGTCATGGCTCTGAACCCCCCCGTGTCCCACCCCGGGGTGGCTCCTTGGGCACAGCAGGACACAGGGTGGCTCCTGCCTCCCCTTTCTCTGCGGGGACGCTCCTCACCTCCCTTTGCAGCAGGGCTGAATTAGGTCAGTGAGCAGCCTGGGGCCCTGCAGCGTCACCCTCCCTGCCCAGGCTGCTTTGTGACCGTGCTGGAGGGGACACCAAAGGGGCGAGGACACGGGCTGGGTGGACCTGCTCGGGAGCACTCCCAGCTTTCAACACAATGGTAGCAGCTTCCTCCTGGGGCTCAGCTGTGCCTTTTCCCAAAATGGGGTCAGCACTCAGCCGGTGGAGGGGCTGCTGCCCTGCTGTGGCCAGTTTTAGCCCACCCCAGCAGCCCCTCTTCCTCCTGGGGTGCCAGAGCCACTCACCTCAGAGTATCATCCCCCACTGGGTCCGTCCCAGGGTCCTTCTGCCACTTACAGAGTCTTGGGGTGCAGGGTCTGCCTATCCCCACCCACTTCATCCCCCCCTCTTGCCTCTGCCCTGTTCTGTTGGATTTTGGAGATGGAGCTTGCCAGAGCTGTAGTTCCTTTCCATCCTGTGTGCTCGGGTGGGGTTACAGCTTTCAGAAGGGATTTGTACCACCTGTATCCCCATTCCCCTCACCAGATTACTTAGAGCGGCTTTTTTTGCTCAGCACCCCAGCACTTTTCTTCTATTCCCTTTCCCAAAAACAACCTCTCTGCCGATGGCTGACCTTTTTTTTTTTGCCTTTTATTGCTCAGGCAGCTTGGCTTTCCCTGCTTATGCTGCCGTCCCAGCCCCAGCCCCGCTCTTACCTGTTGAGCTGCTCCATGAGCTCGGTGACGGCGCTGAGGTCGGAGTCACGCACCTCCTGCACCAGCACCACGTCGTAGCGGAGCAGGATCTGTGAGGCCAAGGGGGACAGCGATGGTGGGAGGGAACGTGCTGCCAGCTCAGAGCCAGTCTCCCACCCACCTCCCAGCCAGGCACCCTGGAATGATGCTGGATACACCGTGGGGACCCACATGTCCCTCGGTCCCAGGGCAGATGTCCCCATGGGGGGCTCAGAGGGACTTGTGGCTGTGTCTGATGCCCTACCATGGTCCCCACCAAGCCTTCATCCACTCAGGACATCCCCAGCACTGGGATGCCATCCCATCCTCAGCCACATGTCCTTGGCACAGGAGCCACGTTTGTGGCTGTCCCAGTGCCCAGCCTGTCCCCACGTTGTGCTGGCTGCACTCACGTTGACGATGATCTCTGCCACCTCCTTGTTGGACATCTTGGTGTCACCAAAGGCTTGGATGTTGAAGGCACCGACACGCAGGGTGGCAGTGGCCGGGCACAGGAGAGCCACAGCCAGCAGGGACAATGCCAGAGTCACAGTCCCCATCCTGCAGGGAGGGATGCTGAGTCACAGAGATGGGAGCTGAACTTGGAAAACTCCTTTGGATTTGGGGTAGAAAAATAAAAGGACATGCAGATCCTTCCTCAGTCCTGCTGTACAACAGCGTGTCATGATGGGCACTGCCTCTGACAGGCAGTCTGACAGCTCGCTGGTCCCAGAGAAGATAAATCCCATCCCACCACAGTGAATCCACCTCCTCCAGCTCCTAGGATCACCCAGCTCCACTCCCCGCCGGAATTTCTCCATCACCCACCAACCCCCAGCCACCACTGCCGGCACCCCAGGTTGTTCCATGTCCTTAAACTTTGCCACAGCCTCCACTGTTAGGGTAAGGAGCAGCTCCTCATCCCAGCTCGTCGCAGCTCATCCCAGTCCCTCCCGGTTCACAGCTGAAGGTGCTGAGCCTGGATCTGTCCTTACCTTGCCAAGTGTGCAGCACCTCTGCCCTCCCGGCAGCAGGATGGGCGGCTTTATTGCCAGTGGAGTTGCCAGCAAAGCAGGATGAGTCGGACACCCCCGTGGGGGTTTTGGCATGACTGTGGGCTCCTTCCCGCATTGGGAAACCAGAAATCCCACAGAACGACAGGGTGGGGCCAGCACAGCCTCCCCTGTGCTGACACAGCAAAGGGCAGCCCTGGAGGCTTGACAGGGCTGGAGCATCCCAGTGGGAATGGGTGGGCACGTGGGACTCGGGGGGCTGCAGCCAACTGGGGTGGCCTCCCAGATCACAGAGTGGCCACAGTGGCCAGGCAGGAGGTGAAGGGCACTGACCTTAATTGGGTGATTCAGACAGTGTAATTAGAGGGAAGAGGAGGAAATGGCCTGTGTTTGGGTCAGGCAGGTGAGCACCAGACGAGCACCGCCAGCCCCAGCTGCGCACCCCTGCAGCAGCCCTGGCAGCCACTCACAACAGCCCCGCTGGTGACCCAAAGCAGCCCTACTTGTCATCCAAAGCAACCCCACCAGTGACCCAAAGCAGCAGCCCAAGAGGAGTGGCATTTCCCGTGCTAGCCCCCAGCATCACCCCGGGGTGATGAAGGATCAGGAGGCTCTGACAGGCAGGGAGACGGTGGCAGCCCATGCCGGGACTTGCCGGGCTCTCAGGCAAGGTTTTGCATCCTCACACCTCATCCAATGTGACACCAGGTTTTGCATCCTCACACCCAGTCTCGGGATGAGTCCAGTGTCCCTCAGTGCTGTGTCAGCACCAAAACCCCGAAAGTCCCCTGGGAAGCACCAAACCCCCTGGGAACTGACTCACATCCTCCACTTCCCCCCACTCTTACCGTCAGTGTCCCGTCAGCCATCCCGCAGCCAGGCGGGCTCTGTCAGGATGCGTGGCAAGAGCATCCTGTGCCCTGGAAAGCCTGGAGCCTCCCAGGCCCTTCCTGGTGTCCCTGCTTTTGCTGCAGAAAGGGAAGTAGTGCTTGCCACCCCGTGGGTCCAGGTGTCTCCATGGCAGAAGGGTCCCCCAGCCCCGGAGACCTCCCTGGCAGGGGATGGGGGACTTGGATGCCAGGGGCTGCTGGGGAGACTAAAGGGACCTTCCCTCCAGAGTTGCAAAGGCTGGAAGAGGCTCATTTTTAATGGAAGCAGAGAGCATCCCACTCCCACAAGATCCAAAAGAGTGGCTCCTTGCAGAGATAGTGGGCAGCTTGGCTGGCACTTGTGGCATGTGGGCTTCCACGAAGGCTGCAGGTGCACGCCGGGATGTCCTGGTAGCCACCGGCACAGGGACAGGCTCAGCGGGCTTTCAGGGTCACCTCCACAGGGAAATGGTCACTGACGGCCAAAGCCTGGGTGTGGGAGAGAGCAGAGAGGGCCTGAGCTCATCCAGACACTGGGATGGCTGGCTGAGACCCCAACACTCCTCTCCAACCCCCAAATTTAGATCATTTCCCAAACTGCTCAGTCTAGGGGGTTGATTCAGTGCAAGACTTGGGGTCGGGCCACCCTGGGGCACGCCTCTAGGAACAAGGAGCCCACCCACACTCCCAGGAGGTATGGTGGGGTGGATCCCAGTGCTGGTGGGCCCATGTGCCCTGGCCCCTCACTCACATCCTTGCGCTGGAGGTGGAATTTCTGCTCGAAGTTGTTGACGGTGGCGGAGCCGGGATCGATGTCTTGGCGCAGGGCGGTGCCGCAGGCGACGATGCTGCCGGGGCAGCACGAGGGTGTGAGTGCCTGCCAGCCCCCCCATGCCAGCCACTGCCCCCCGCCAGGGCACCCACCGGTCGTAGGCACAGTCGGTGTCGGCCACGGTGGTGTCGGCGCTGTCGGGGATGAGCCACTCGCAGGCGCGCAGGGAGCGCAGGCGGATGGACGGCCACTGCGAGCTGGTCACGTAGGCACAGTCGGCGTTGAAGTCACCCAGCAAGATGATGTCCTGCAGGGCAGCACGTTGTGTCCCTGCCCATGGACCTTATGGGTCAGCAGGGGCTCCCTAATTTCTTAAGGGGTGGCGACAAACCCCCCTGGGGCACTGCAGTGCACGGGGACAAGCCCCCTGTAAAGGCAGCGGAGACACCCTGCAACTCCCTGCCTGAAGATTGCTGGGGTGGCACCTGCTCTAATGGATACAAGAGGCCTCCCATGGGACAAGTCCATCCACTTGCCCACTCAGCTGCCCTCAGAGAGGAGCTGAGCTCACTGCCATTGCGTACATTAGTCCCCCACTTGTTGATGACGTCGGTGTAGACGTCGTAGAGCGCGTCGATCTCTTCCGCCGCATGGCTGGGCTCGGAATGCAGGGGCACCAACACGAACTCCTGAACCTCTGCCACACAGGTGGTTGTCAGCCCTCACCTCAGCTGCAGCAACTGAGAAGGGAGCAGGAACAACAGGGACCACCCCCGGCCAAGCCCCAGCTACCAGCTGGGAAAAGCTGCTGCAGGGAAAGGGTGTCTGTGGTGGTGTGTGTGTCCTCCAGACTGGAATTTCCTGTGGGGAACTGCATTCATTTGTGTAGGGTTTGCTGCTTGTTTCCTGTCAGCTTTTCCAAGCCACCATGGTTTGGGGAAGGAGATGGAGGTGGGAGAGATGGGAGAGTGTATGTGCCCCGAGGAGGTTCTAAGGAGGTGGAGGTGATGGCATGGGGTAGGTGATGGAACAAGGTGGAAAATGGGACATGATGGGAGATGGCAGAGATGGGGGATGACAGGGAATGGGAGATGGTACATGAGGGAGATGGAACCCAAGAGGAGGAAGAAGATGGCGGGATATGGCACAAGATGGGAGGTAGCAAATAATGGGATGCAGGACACGATGGGAAGCAGCTGGAGATGTGAAATGGCACACAACTGAACAGAACACATGGTGGGAAATGACAGACAACGGGATGTGACGGGAATTGACAGGAGATGGCACACGGTGGGAAAGAGCAGGCAGTGCCAGCCATGCTGAGCTGGTATGTAGGACCCCTGGGCACCCACGGGTGGGAGATGGTCCCACTGCCCTAAAGGACCCTTGTGGAGCCCAGTTGGCAGGCATAGCTCTGGGCTTAGCCCTCTGTGGAGGGGACCTTGTGCCAGGTCTGGCATCCCCCAATGGCAGCTCTGCTCACGTGTGGTGGGTGAGGAGAACTTCACAATGAAGGGCTCCCTGCTGAAGGTGTCGTTCCCACAGGACTCGCAGCCATCGTCGTAGTAGTAACTTCCCAGCACGGAGACCATGTCCGACCTGAGGGAGGAGAGCAGGGCAGCCCCCAGCACAGCTCCTGGCACAGACAGGACCTCTAAAGGTACCCATTGCCCTTTGGGGGTTGCTGGGGAGGGCAACAGGTGACACAGGGGACACTGGACCCTGGTGACATCCCTTACCTGTAGACAAAGAGGTACTGCTCCTTGTAGCTGGTCCGACCCAGGGGGATGCTGACCAAAAAACTGTAGGGCTGCCCAGAAGCACTGGGGGGGAGGTGTGGAGAGGGTGAGAGGAGGCTCCTGGTGCTCCCCAGCACCCATCAGGCTCTCTCCAGCTGAGCCAGGGTGCCTTGGCATGGTGAGATGCCAGCTGGGATCCAGCCCAGCATCCCATTTGCAGTCACCCTCACACTGTGCCATCAGGGTCACCTGTTGAGCTGGTCCATGAGCTTGTCCACGGCACTCAGGTCGGCATCCCGGACCTCCTGCACCAGGATGATGTCGTACTCCGACAGGATCTGGGAGGACAAGCTCAGAGCTGCTCTCCCCTGGCCGAGAGCTGCTCGTGGGACACCCATGGGTGCCTCAGCTGGGCTGCAAAGGCTCCCAGGCTGGCAATGGGAGGCCATCAGAGCCTTTCCCACCCCTCCCTGAGTCTGCACCAGAAACCCCAAAGATCCTACAGCAGCTGTGCTGGATCAGAGCAAGGGACGGATTCCCCCTGACACCCCTCCCCACCTCCCTCACTGTCCCAAGGAGGGGGCTCCTCTGCTGGTCTTCTCTGCCTTGGAAGGACCCTGGGATCACACAGACCCATCTGTCTACCAACATCATCCCAGCAGCTGCTCCGAGGGAGGAACCTGGGCAGCACCAAGCATTGCCCACCCTGGGGTGGGCATCAGCAAGAGTGGAGATGGCCTGAGGTGGGAGATGGTGACGAGGGATGAGCAGATGGGTGAGTGAAGGGAGGTTTGGATGGAGAGATGGATGGAGGTGTGGATGGATGGGTGGATGGATGGATGGATGGATGCCTACAGAAAGCTGGTGTCCCACTGTCCCAGGGTCACTGCATCCCAGAGAGCAGAGAGTGTCCAGGCCTGCTCCTCTCCCCTGCACTCACAGAGACGATGATGTTTGCCACGGTCTGGTTGGACATCTTGGTGTCCCCAAAGGCCTTGATGTTGAAGGCGCCGACCTTCAGCGCGGTGGCCACGTGCAGCAGGAGAGCTGCAGCCAGCAGGGACAGCACCAGCTGGGAAGCTGCCATCCTGTGTGCAGAAGGACAGGGAGGGGCTCAGCCCTCCTGGCTGGGTTAGGGTTTTGGCACAGGTGGTGGAGGTGACCAGAGTAATCCCACTGGCCATACTGGTTTCACTGGGAAGCATCTGTTTTCCAGTGAACCACCAGGATCCAGGGATTGTGTACATCCATCACGTGAGGCCTCATCCTGCCTGTCCCTCCTGGAGGGAGGCCAGACCACTCACGAGGCCAGAGAGGAAAATTCACTGGCAAAAGAGTAAATGCCATTTCATGGTGACACAGAGCGGTCCCTTCCTCATTCACCGTGCTCAGCTCGGACACCTCTCCTGGCCTGGGGTGGGTGGCAGTGGCCAGGCACACTGAGGTCCTTTGGCTTGTGCCTCTCCCACCCCTCCTTGCATCTGTGCCAGAGACCCCAGAGACCCTTCAGCAGCTGTGCTAGGACAGAGGAAAGGATGGATCCCCCCAACACTCCTCCCCAACTCCCTTCCCACCTGGAACATCCTCACCTGGGGTATCCTGCCCCCTATTTCCCAGCACTGCCCCTGCCCCATCCTCACCCACGCTGTCGTCCCTCAGGACCCCTCACCGAGGCAGCACAGCAGCTCCCACCCACGGGGGAAGGCTTTTGGGAAGTATTTCCCGTGGCACTCTGCACTCCCTAGGGTAATATTTCACCAGTGTGTGGGATCTGAGCCCTGCCCAAGCCCAGGTGCCCCAAGCAGGAACCTGATAAGATGGGCTGAGAGAATAGGCAAACACACCAGCTTTTGGCACAACAAATTCCAGCCCCAGGAAGGTTTTGCTGCCTCAGGGCTTGCTTTTCCTTCTGGGTAAGCTGCTCCGGCTAAACCCTCGCCTCTTCCACTTGCACCCTCGCTGTGGCTGCAAACACTTCCCTCCAACACCGCAGTCCCCCCAGCTGGTAACACAGAGATTCAGTAATGCCACAATTTGGTCATGCCAAAAACTGCCCAAAGCCCCACAAATCCTCCCCACTCCCCGGGGGGCACAGCAGCCTCTGCACCTCCCAGGTAGAGACACCTACGAGGACCCTGAGCTGTGCCCAGGCTCAGCCCCGGCAGAGAGCTGTGGCAAAATTAGGCTGAGCTGGAGAAGGTGGCACTGGGGAGCTCCTGTGGTGCGGGAGGAGAGGGGAGCAGGACATACCTTTGGCGTCATCCAAGGACTCTGGAAGGGGAAGGATCTGCACCTGCATTTATGGGGAGGGACGGGCTCACCTTGCCAAGTGGTTGCCCGGCCAAGGAACATGTGAGGCCGCAGGCTCCATATGGCATTTTTCACGGAAATAAAGGTCTGCTCGGTGCAAAAAGAGCCCTTTCAGCCACTGCCAATACCTCCTGTCATAGGTAAGGCTGAGAACGTGCTGGAGTGGATTAAAATGCCAAGAGATCCCAGAGACTACTCCTGGAGAGTGGCAGCTCCCCAATGTGGGATGTGGGCAGCTCTCACTCATCAACAGACACAATTTCTCTTAAAAAATGTTTATTTCACAAACATGAATTGTTCCCACCCAGCACATTTCCACCCCTACATTTCCAACAAGGTGGGTGTTCCAGGGCCAGCAGGAACCCGGTGCCAGGGGCTGAGGGCATCCAGTGCATCCCAGTGTGGTGCTGCCACTCTGGTCTCTGGGTGGGAAGCCAAGCTGGAACTGCCAAAAAGCACCACATCCCTGGCATGGTGCCTGTCCCCAGAGCCTCCCCAGGCGGTCACACGGCTCAGCCCCATCCCTGAGAGGGTTGTGAGGTGCCAGGGGGTGGCAGCCTCTCCACCCCACCCACTCCCCCTGCTCACCCCAGCTCTGCCCCAGTGGCCTTGGCCAATGTCCTGGTGTTCCCGGTGTTCCCAGTGCTCCCAGCCTCCAAAGGCAGATGTTGAGTTTCCCAGGAGGGCCATGCCAGGCCCCTAGAAGTGTGCAGTGATCCTGAGGGGCTGGGGGGGCCCCTGCCAGCCCCCTCCCCTGGAGCCAGGCACACCCCAGAGAAGGGGGGCTTCGCATAGAGGGATTAGGGCTTGGCCTAGACCCCCCCAACAGGCTCCCCAGGTTGGGCCCAGGGCCAGGCTCCCCCAGCCAAGACCCTCCATGGCCAGTCCCTCTTCAGGTCAAGACCCTCTCAAGAACCAGACCCAGGACCAAGACCCCCCTGGGCCAAGATCCCCCCAGGGCCAGTTCCCTCCTGAGTCAGCCCCAGGCCCAGCCCTCCAGGTCCAAGACCTCCCCAGGTCTAGGCTCCCCCCCAGGTCAAGCCCCCCTGGCTCAGCCCCAAGATCTCTCCAGGGCCAAGACCTTTCCCAGGGCCAGTTCCATCCTGAGTCAAGACCCCCTGAGTCAGCCCCAGGCCCAGCACTCCAGGGACAACACACCCCCAGGTCCTACCCCCCCGAAATTAAGATCCCTTGGCTGAGCCTCTCAGGACCAAGACCCTTCCAGAGCCAAGATCCCCCCAGGTTCAATTCCCTCCCAAGTCAAGATCCCCCGAGTGAGTCCCAGCTCCAGCCCCCCCTGCTGGGGCCAATATCCCCCCTGGCTCATCGCTCAGGGCCAAAATGCCCCCAGGGCCATTTCCCTCCCAAATTAAGAGACCTCCTGAGTCAGCCCCAGGCCCAGCTCCAAGGGCCAATATCCCCCAGGGCCAATATCCCCCCTGGCTCATCGCTCAGGGCCAAAATGCCCCCAGGGCCATTTCCCTCCCAAATTAAGAGACCTCCTGAGTCAGCCCCAGGCCCAGCTCCAAGGGCCAATATCCCCCAGGGCCAATATCCCCCCAGGTCCAGGTCAAGACCTCCTGGCT